CCTAATAATTCTAGACATGACTATAACTCACCTTTGATGCATTCTCTAAGGTCTTGGAGACAGAGAGTATTAAATTGTGGCTGCAGACTGTGTTCCGGACTCAAAGACGGTCAGATGGTACTGATATTCCAAAATCTGCGGGATGTATTGCCTGATGATACTGACTTGCGCAGTGCACGCATGCATGTCAACAGTTGTTTCGGGTGTCCTGTCCACTGAATCCCTTTAAGGGAATCCTTTAAGGGAATAGGTCCACAGTACGCCTGGCGGCGGCCATACTACTAGTAAAACTCGTCTTAAATAGTGAACACTCATAGTATATAAGCTGATTCTGAGCGGTGGTATGACTAACGGATTTGCCTGTTCCAGACTTGATTAGGAAAAGAACTCGATAGAAAAGATAGATGGGTAGTTGGGTAATTGGACAGGTGGTAGGTGGGTTGGTGGGTAGGTGGGCAGATGGACTGGTGGGCAGGTTGGTGGGTAGGTGAGTAGGTGGTGGTGAGTGAGTGAGTTTAGTTTTACGCCACACTTAGCAATATTCAAGCTATATGGCGGCGGTAAATAATCGAGTCTGGACCAGACAATCCAGTGATCAACAGCATGATCATCGATCTGCGCAATTGGGAACCGATGACATGTGTTAACCAAGTCAGCGAGCCTGACCACCCGATCCCGTTAGTCGCCTTTTACGACAAGCATGGGTTACTGAAGATCAATACTCTAACCCGGACCTTCACGGGTAGGTTGGTGGGTAGGTGGGTAAGTTGGTAGGTAGATAAACCATCCGGGTGTCAGAACAGATTACTGACCGAAGCTGACCCTGATTAATTTCGTGGAAAATTATTAAACATACATTAGGAAGTGCCCATTTGTTTCCGACCGCAATTCAAAACTCACGTCACGCCGACATACCATTAAACTTCCTTACCCCTGCACGGAGGCAGATTAACATACATACCTATGAGCTGTCGTGCATGCATAGTTTTTAATTCGAATGCGACAGATGTTCATAAATATTTAAGGAAATATCAATAGATACGTTTAGAATAGTCCAACACGTTCCCGTTCACCAGCTTTCTGAGCAGAAATCTTATCTCTGTATAACGTATCTCATTTGTCAATCAGCTGACGTTGTGATAACACCATGGCCGTGTATAAAAGATAACGTGGAGGTTACAACCCATTCGCTGTGTAAAACCGGAATATGATTTGTATGTGACACTATTTACGATCCTTCCATTCAGTTCACTGGGTGTGACTTCGGTTGTTCAGAAAACTGCAATCTGGTCCGATAAAAACCCGGAAAACATGTCGCTTCTTTTTCAGTTAAAAAGCTTACATGCCAGATACTAACTGCTTGCATATAGATGAAAAAGTAGTACGTTTTTATGATGGAGTGTTTCAAAAGTTACAAATAATTTTTTTGTCACAATATCGTTTACCGTTACTATAAACTTGAACCATTCCTTTACTCCTGGGCCCCTTGTCACAAAGCTATCGTAGCGCTACGAATGTCGTAAGTCAATGCTACAGTATAAGAGTTACGACAGTCGTAGCCCTACGATAGCTGTGTGAAACGGGGCCCTGTGTAACAAGTACCCCACCCCACTGTGAACCTGTTCTTCAACCCAAATACCTTCCCACAGATCAACTGGTACAGACATTAAGCGTTCCCTTGCTTGGTCCACCCATCAGTCTGCTTGGGACACAGGCAACCCTGTCGTCTCAGGTTCCGCAGCCATCTGTGCGAAGTTGCGTCCTTTAGTCGAGCAGGATCCGCTTATCATTGACCGAAACCTTCGTTTGTGAGGACAATTCCCATTGTTGTTGTTGTTTCCTAAAAAGCGGTAACCTTCTGCGACCTTTACGATGTCTGGCTTGACGCCAACGTTAATCTGACACGCCGTAACACTACTCAAGTACTGTTCAAACCAAACTGACTTAATCCTGCTACAACTATGATATGTCACCTACCATATCCTTCAAGGGGCGATGGGGTAGTCAAGTGGTTCGCTCGTCACGCCAGAGAATTACCCACATGGGTACAAAGTGTGAAATCCATTTCTGGTGTCCCCCGCCGTTTTGTTGCTGGAATTTGGCTTGAGTATTGCTAAAAGCGGCGTAAAACTATACACAATCACTCCTAACCCGCCATTGTGATCTCTTCCACCATTCTCGTCATGTCGAAGGCCCGAGTCCCCTACTCACTTCTGGTATCCTTGGCAGTGATATATAGCTTGACAATCCAGTGACCTACATCATGAGCATCGATTTACGCATTTTGGAACCGATGACATGTGTCAGCCAAGTCAGCAAACCTGACACCTAATGCCGTTAGTCAGCTCTTACGACAAGCATGGGTTAGTTTAGTTTAAACATATTTTATTCACAATGTGAAAAGGATCGGAGACTAGTTCACACAACTTGTGAAACCCCTCTCCAAAGATATTTACAATAACTAATTACATAACAAACAATTATTAGAAACAGAGACAGAAAGATTGACAGTTCAGGGGAAATGTTATAATACAAAAGGTGTATAGAAAGAAGTCTACTGGAAACGTTTAGATTTGCATATATACTGATGTACATTTTTTAATATAATTTCATTTTTATGATTTGTCAGATCTGCAATGCCGTGTAAACTAACAGATAATGTAATCACAGAATTACTACCACATACATCTTGAATAGCTTTAAGCATGATCTTTCTATGTTGTTTGTATAAAGAACATTCTAAGAAATAGTGATGAGCATTTTCGCACGGGTTTCCACATGCGCAGGATGGACTAATGATTAGCCCTACTCTGTACAGATCGTAACTGAATCTACTAGCTCCATGACGTAGTTGCGTATGTAATATGTTAAATTTTCTAATACCATAAGAAAAGTACAGTGGAGCTCAGTTATTTTGCTCTATTTAAACTTTGATAGTGAAGTACAATTTCTTACCTCTGTGGATGAATTGTTCGAATCCACAATCTAGTAGTCGATGGGAAGAACGACTCGTGAGAAACCTTTATTCTTGTTCTTGGCAAGCAGATATTTCCCTTGGGGGCGATGGGGTAGCCTTGTGGTTGAAGCGTCCGCTCGTCTCGCTGAAGACCCGGGTTCGATTCCCCACAAAGGCACAATGTGTGAAGCCCCTTTCTGGTGTCCCCCGCTGTGATATCGCTGCAATATTGCTGAAAGCGGCGTACAATCATACTCACTCACTCAGTCCTACTTCCCCATCACCACAACCTGTGTCTGCACCCAGTCCCACAAACAGAGTTATATAAACAGGTTACACATCCGGGTGCGTGTTTTCCTGCCAGGCTCCGTGTTATCATGTCATACCTTGCCACCTCTTCCGGGTAGCGCGGACTATCATACAAACCAGTTTGCTTAACATGGTAGATGAATAGGAAATCAGTGTCTGGTTTATCGTGGTCGCCGTATCTGCATATTCAGCTGCGTCTCGTGCTTCCGAGCACCGTGATGCAGGATAGGATGTATAGGGTTTGAGACGTAGTCTGTCAAGCTAGGACTTCATAACAGAGAGAATAGGACATGAGAGCTGCATTTAAGCATAACGGAACTTCAGTAAGTTCTTACAAATATTTTTGTCTGATCTTATCATATCCATCATATTACTTCCATTAATCTTCTGTTTTTGCGTTTCTCAGACAGCTGGTGTCACGGCATATTTTCGGCAATTTTCGTTCATATAACTGGCACCTCTCCATTTATGGAGAAATGGGGTCAGTTTCGGCGGATGATTGAGACTGGTTGTTCTCTGGCTTTGGCGTATGATATATAAACTCACATAGCTAACATCCGGCACAGCATGCCAATAACATAAAAACAACATATCACCCAACACCAAACATAAAATCTAACACAACATCCAGCATAACATTTAGCACAACATCCAACACAACATAACATCCTTCATGCCACAACACATAACATCATATCCAAGATAACATCCTACTTATACATAACATAACACAAGCATAACATCTAACATCACATCGACCCAACATCCAACACAACATCCGACACACCATACATCGCATGTTTAATGTAACAGTTCTAGCTGACCTAACATGGTCGACCCTCATGAAGTACCTTTTTCTTCTATTTAATAAAAACACTTTCGCAAACCAAATATTTGGAAATTCTTGTGTTTTGTATTCGAATATCCGTTATTTCTATATGCAGTGAAACAAAATCAAACTTAATTCAACCATTTTATAAACATTACATGGAACTAATGAATTATGTAAAACGACTTACTTCCTCGTCGTACATGATCAGTGTTTACCTTAAATCACTCAGGTAAATACACGAGTATTCATACTACTCCCCTAGCAACTAATGCATGAATACCCTAAGCAGAGTTCCAGTCGATTAATATACATACACAAGTATGTCTAACACCTCCAAAATCAATATCTGTACAATACATCGCACAAAACTCTTCATAAAAGCCGTGTGAAAAGTCAAGCGTTAGGTGGCATTGTATACATTAATGAATTATTCACCATAACTTCCTCTCGAGACGGGTACTAATCAATTAGCAACAGTTGAAAGCTCCTTGAACGCTCAGGTGAGAGAGCTTACGACTGCATGAGAACGTCGTCAGCATGATGAACAACTTTGGAAAGGTCTAACATAAATTCGTCGGGTCAGAGCGATCTTGATCTTAATCTTATACAAGCCTCTCCATACCTTACCGCCACCGGGGGCATCAACGCTTTACAACAGACCTCCTTCAGTTCGAGAGGGGAATTTACGCGTTCGCCGCTCAACTAGATCTAATTTATAATACAAACTGAATTGTACTGTTGACCCCGTACGTACTCTTAACGTTGCTTAAGCCTGGGTAGCAGGTGGGAAAATGAATGGCACATTCAAGTTCGGTACACGATGCTGTGTTTCATTCCTGGCTACTAGCTTACAGTACACTGCAATCCCCAACCCCTCCACCAGCGTGCCTGGGGGTAGTGGAACCCGTAACTGACGCGATGGATCAGCATCATTGGGGACTGGGGAATTTTTTTCATATTTTAGAGGTAAGATTACATCTGTGGTTTTCTTCATGATTTTCCATCTCGATGCTCCTCGAGAAATTGAGATGCTGGTGGATTAACACCATTCTTGTTTGTCAAAGGCTTGAAGTTCACTAAGTATATAATTTATCATAATTTTGGTGACGTGGAGATTTCCTTGTTTTTTTGTTTTTCTTTCATATTTTCTTATCCGATCGAGTATGGTTATCGGTTTTCCGGATTTTGCTCTGAATTAATTGAAGCGTGTTTTTATTGAAATTTTACTTGAAACACTTCTTTGGGGAAGAATATCTTTTATGATACATTGAAAAATAGATTAAACAATTAAACACTTTAAAACGCGGGCAGTTAATAAAGTGACGAAAAAAGAAAGAAGCAATTCCAAAAGGTCATCAAAACCTTACTAGGCTGAAGAGCGGTGGGGTAGCCTAGTGGTTAAAGCGTTCGCTCGTCACGCCGAAATTCCGGGTCCGATTCCCACATGGGTACAATATGTGAAGCCCATTTCTGGTGTCCCCCGCGTGATATTGCTGGAATATTGCTAAAAGCGGCGAAAAACTGAACTCACTAGGATGAAAACACTGCACCGAAACACTGCAAACTTCAGGTCCAAAACATCGTGTATCCGTAAAAATAAATCACAGCTGGGCCATCATTTCCTTTGCTTTTAATTCCAGCATTATCAAACTTGGTAGTGTTTTCTCTTGCTGCTTTTCAACAAGTTTAAAACCTGTCAATAAATTCCATATTCAAGAAACAACTCTAGTTAAAGGAGATAGGAGCGGTTTAAATCTTTCTTATAAAGACCCTACAATCTATAAAATAATAACGAAATATGTGTATACATAAAACTACTTGTAACAATTTACCAAACAACAAGAAAGGCCTTTGACAGAAACCAACCTCCCAGTTTATATAGATGTATATTCTAATGGTCACCACTAACCTATAATTGACGGCAAGCGTGTCTATTGCTAAGGGCGGACTATTATATATATTTACAACCCACACCTGTATAAACCACATATTCACCCATGGCATAAGTCTGTTATTAGCCGATGTAGCAGGGTTACAACTCATTTCATATATCCATAGACTGGGTTCATTCTATAGAGCGAATGACATAAAGTGAATTAAGGGTAATAATAGCGAAACGGTCTGCTGTATTTTACACCTGACCTGGTTCTGTCTAGTGACTACTCAAATACGTTGACATGTGGGGCTTTCTGTGATGCGAAAGAGATGGAGTCCTATAGATTCTGACCTATTCACGACTTTCTACAGAACTGAGGACACCGACGATATAAAATAGTTTTTTCTATGATTACTGTGTCCCCTTGAAGGATTTTTATGAATATTGTGTACAAATTGTTTGACTGCGATTTGTTTCGCTTCAGGAAGTAAGGGTTTTATGTATAAGTGTAAAAAGGATTGGAGAGTGCCGAAACCTGATTGCCTGACAAACTTTGTTAAAAGACAACTTTTTGAAATCTTCTAGACTTTTCAAATAGTATAAATGCTGGATGAGTACCATACGCCAAATGTGAAAAAAATGACATAAGGAATGATCATATATGTTACACTGATTTTTATAATACTTTTGATTAATAATTTTGAGTAAAAATGCAAGTTATGTTTTACACAACATTCTTCTAATCTGCCGGATTCAGAAGTCACGTGAGTATATGACGCCATACTGGTCCAGATTGCGTCAAAATGTGTCTCGAAATTGTATATGTACGGCTAGAAAGAGAGCTCTATGTCAATGAACGTTTAATACGTTTTCAAACCTGTGCTGGTGTTACTAACAGCCTTCAGATTCAAGTCATAGTCAGATGCCTGAGACTACAATCAAGCAATCATGAAGTCCAGGGTTTGGGGGATTGCTTCTCAATGAGAGGGGGTGGGGGTGGGGTGGGGTTAGTTCGGGTAGTGCCGAAATCAACGCGCATCATGTTTATTGTCACTGACAAAAGAATATAGTACAACATGACTGTGACAGTTTGGTGAACACATTTCGAAATATTTTCAGCTCTTCAATAGTATTCTATTTTTCTGCCATACAGCTGGAATGTTGTTGGGTGCAGCGTTAATATAAAAACATCCAACAAAACAAATGATATTTTAATCGCTTTGCATGTTAGGGTCTTCGAGGACCCAACCCCTTTACCTAGTGCACCCTCTTTGTCAATGAGCTGTCATACACCTGGTACACTCTGGCCGCATTGTTATGTAATATTCAATCGCCAGCATGCATTTCTGACATCTACAGCCGCGTTTAAAAGCAACGACGTTTTACCTGTTTGCTAGCTAAACTAGATGTTGCAGTGAATAAAGATGTACGTTTGCTTGAATGTAGGCCGGTGGGTAGCCTAGTGGTTAAAGGTTTCGCTCAGCTCGCTGAAGAACCGGGTTCGATTCCCACATGGGTGCAATGTGTGAAGCTCATTTCGGGTGTCCCCCACCGTGATATTGCTAGAATATTGCTGAAAGGATATTATTGGTGGGTTATACGGTGACATGTCAACATGTTGATAATGAAATTAACATTCTGATGGGGCTAATGAGTTAGTGAGTGGGTGGTTGATTTGTAACATTCCATCTCACTAACCGCTTCCTTGTGTTAAGGATACAGACCCTTCCCGGATAGTCTGTCACACAGTCCCTGAATACCACATTATTTTCCCTACTACCTAGCCCCCTCCCTGCAATGTAGTCTGTCTCACAGTCCCTGAACCACATTATTTTCCCTACTACCTAGCCCTCCCTGCAATGTAGTCTGTCTCACAGTCCCTGAACCACATTATTTTCCCTACTACCTAGCCCTCCCTGCAATGTAGTCTGTCTCACAGTCCCTGAACCACATTATTTTCCCTACTACCTAGCCCTCCCTGCAATGTAGTCTGTCTCACAGTCCCTGAACCACATTATTTTCCCTACTACCTAGCCCTCCCTGCAATGTAGTCTGTCTCACAGTCCCTGAACCACATTATTTTCCCTACTACCTAGCCCTCCCTGCATTGTAGTCTGTCTCACAGTCCCTGAACCACATTATTTTCCCTACTACCTAGCCCTCCCTGCAATGTAGTCTGTCTCACAGTCCCTGAACCACATTATTTTCCCTACTACCTAGCCCTCCCTGCAATGTAGTCTGTCTCACAGTCCCTGAACCACATTATTTTCCCTACTACCTAGCCCTCCCTGCAATGTAGTCTGTCTCACAGTCCCTGAACCACATTATTTTCCATACTACCTAGCCCTCTCTGCAATGTAGTCTGTCTCACAGTCCCTGAACCACATTATTTTCCCTACTACCTAGCCCCCCCTGCAATGTAGTCTGTCTCACAGTCCCTGAAAACCACATAAATTTTCCCTACTACCTAGCCCTGCAATGCTAAAGCCCTAAATGAAGCAGGTCTAGATTTCCTCAGGTATATAATTTCCCATCTCACTTGGGCTCCTTTTCAGTGTATTTGTTACTATTAAACTTATATATATTCAGAGGAAAGGCGTTAGTCTATGTAAAACCATATTCACCCTCTCTTGATGGCAATAGCTGTGTGGAGCATTGAATCACTGAGCGGTGATCTGGGAGTCCAAACATAATTTTACTCAATACTTGAACTGCTTTGATCACGAACCACAGCAGGTTCCATTCAAACAGCACGTCAGTCAGACCAGGATTCCACACCTTGCTTCAGACTGCCGGAACAATCTCAGACATGCAACAAGTTACATAACTAAAGTCGATAAGATGCCATGCGTTATCTATGATCTACATTCAGAGCGGATGAACAGGGTCAATGAGAGACAGAACCCAGTCAGAGGCAACCACCGGGAAGGTGTCATACAATCTGAGAAATACTATCCCCACCATTGCTAAACGAAGAACCCACAGGTTAAACACTATTAGATTGACTGGGGCGTTGAGTTCACTACTACACCTATGGTTAACGCTTGAATGTACCATGGTATGACTGGCTCAAATTAGGCGAGCCATTAATTATCCATTACGTGGCTTAACTGTCGGTTTTCACGATTTTAATTGTCCACATCGTCGCCTTCGGTGTCCGATTTCCCCCCAAAATCAGCCCCTCCGCAATCACCAGGGATCTGGCGTCAATCGGTGCCTCAGACAAGCGTCTCAGACGATACGTCATTGAACGTGTTACATGAAGCAAACACAATCGTGTTTTGAGGTTACTATCACATAGAAGCTGTTGTTTAATGTTAGAATAAAAATCTATTGAAAAGTTAGTCACTTTAGTGTTTGAATTAGCTAGAAACCAAGATGCTTTGAATATTTCTTACTGGCCGCTGCCTGACCGCTCTTCAGGGTTATGCAAGACACGGTTTAGAAGCAGCTGTTCACTAATCCCGCCAATATTCGGCAGACGATGGTGATCTGATCGTCTGCTAGACCGGTCGTCTGCTTCACTGAGTATTGAAGAAGCCGGGAATTAAATTTGTGGTTTACAGTTATCTACTCAAACTGCCAACTGGAGGTGAAGTATCTGTTGAGCGCCGCTGAAAATCATTCACTCAGCTAGAGGAGGAACGGGAATAAGCAAGGGATTTATTCTAATTGGATTGAATTAAAGTGGGATTGAAGATCGCGGGAAGAAGTACTCAAGTCAGTTTGTAATGTGTTAAAATAACTCTGATTGGATTGTGAGTGAATGGGTGAGTATTCTTTTATGCTGCATTTCGTTCAATCTTACAGCAATATCACAGCGGATACCACAGCGGATTTAAACATTATACCCACATGGGTATCGAACACGACCTTCGCCGAACGCGTGAACACTTTAGCCACTAAGCCATGTCACTGGCCACGTTGGTGTCCGTTTGAATGGGGTTTTTCCACATTTTTACATAAACTTATTGCTATCAACGCGGCTCAGGTTGTGACGTATATTTTGGTGGCACCATTAGCAAATGTGTGTAGCCTACTTTACAAAATCGCCAAATAGATTGTTTAATGAATAGGAGGATAATAGTGATGTTACCAAGATGATGTTACAAACAGCCAACCATCCAGGTGTTTCAGGACTGTCTACATGCATGTCCGGCTGTTGTTGACATGGTCGATATTCCCAATGTTTTCATAGATACAGTTTCTTATTCGTAGCCAATTAACTCCTTTGTAGTCGAAAAACGGCCCTGCTCCTTTCAAATTCATGATCAAAATCTAAAGAAAGGTCATTTTGGATGTTCATGAATCCGTTATTGTGCATACTTTGCGGTGCCTGCGTTTAGCAGTGGGTGTCGCAGGGTTTCAATGAATATAATTTGTGTGTGTACGTGCGTGTGTGTGTGCGTGCGTCCCTTAGTATGCGTGTACTAGCCGGATGTATTGTGTTAGTCAAGGACACCCCCCTCAAACACTGTATATCGACTCAAAATTTGTTTTACACCCGACTGCCGTGTGGCAGGGTATCAACTGAACCTTTTCACGGTTGTTTGTGTGGTCGGGGATCGAACTACCTACATTCAACTCTACAGGGAAGGGCTGTATCCGCAACACTAAGGAAGCGGTTATGTTAGTAGGATATAGTATTACAAAACAAGGAAAAATAAGTGAACACACACACACACCACACACACGCCACCACCACCCACACCCCGGCGGATCCAGGAATTTTGAGGGGTCGTAAGGGGGTTCGGTAATGCACATTTGTTTATTTGTTTAAAGCCGAATTTATCACTATCACAGCTACTTGACGAAGGTCTGTTAGTAGTCGTGTCTGGATCGGACAATCTAATGATTGACTTCATGAGCACCGATCTACGCACATGGGATACGATGGCATCTATCAGTCGAGTCAACGAGCCTGACCACCCGATCCTCTTTCAACAAGCATATTCGCCTCTCATGACTAGAAAAGGTTGCTAAAGACCCATTCTACGTAAATCCATGCAGCTTATATTTGATGAGCAACACAAAGACACTCCAGTGGCACTTAAACACAGGATGGTGCTGACAAGACAAAACTTGTACATTCCAAACTCCCTGTGAATACTTACTAACTCACCTGTAATCAGCGGTCGTGTTACCTGTACTCATCGAACATGCGTAATGTGCAAACAATTACTTAGCCCAGGAATGTCAGCTATTTTCCGAGATAACGATGCAAAGTTATTTGTCGTGTTTAGAGATTGGTTTGCCAAACTACCGATTTTAAACACATCAATCTCCAGCGCCTGACTTTCTCGTAGTTCCACTGTGTGCACGTCCGTCACCACTCACTGCATAGCGTACACTGAAGAAACTTGATCCCGTCATCAAAGAACCACAACTCAAGGTTAATAGTTCCTTCCTTGCCAAACTGTTCATTTAAAGGTGAGGTGAGGTAACATGGGGTGTAACGCCGCGTAACGATCATTGCTGTCACATAGCGACGTGTATGCACGTGTGTGCGTACGCGCGTGCGTGAGTTTGCGTGTACAAGTGCTCGACCAATAAAATATCATAGCATTTTATAACTGTTATCCCACTGAAACACATTATTTTGTCTCTGAACATTCATTGTTCTGTCCCATTAATTCTAGCATCAGGCAGGGTAACGACAAGTACCATATTTTACCTTCCTTTGTTTTGATGCGGTCGGGGTTCGAACCACCTACTCTCCGGGACGATGCTCTACCCGCTAGACCAAGGAGGCGGTCAGACCAAAGGCATTTAACTGGTCTCTGGGATAATCCGGGCCCGTGGGGTAGACAAGTGGTTAAAGCGTTCGCTCGTCGCGCCGAAGACCCGGGTTTGATTCCCCACATGGGTACAATGTGTGAAGCACATTTCAGGTGTCCCCTTCGCGATATTGCAGGAATAGTGCTAAAAGTGGCGTAAAACTAAACTCACTCACTCATTCACTCGCTAACACACCCTACCATGGGGTAGTCAAGTGATGAAAGTGTTCTCATGTCTCACTGACGACGGATCCTCTCTATTATAAGACCAAGTACGAATACAGTGCTTCAAGTATAGGCTTCCTCAGCTGCTAGTTTACCAGTAGGCTGGAGTCAGGGGGCACATATGGTTCCCTATGTTGCAACATAGGAAGTGTGAATGACTGACAGATGTTAGCACTTGCAGATGTAAATCCCCAGACTAAACCAGACCCGTTTCACAAAGTGGGGGCGGTGGGGTAGCCTAATGGTTAAAGCTGAAGACCCGGGTTCGATTCCCCACATTTGTACAATGTGTGAAGCCCATTTCCGGTGTCCCCCGCCGTGATATTGCTTGAATATTGCTAAAAGCGGCGTAAAACCATACTCACTCACTCCACAAAGTGATCTGTGTGCTTCAGTCGTTGTAAGTCTATATTTAAGAATGGGAGTGACGATCGTAGCTTTGTGGGTGAAGCATTGAGTGTAACAGTGCCATTGTTCCAGGGTACCCGACAGTTTGGGTTCATAAAGCTTTGTTTGTTTGTTGTTTAACTCACGGAGGAGGTTCAACTCACTCATAAAGATTCAACTCACTCACGGAGGTTCATAATGTTTTTTCGACAGCAGTGCCGTCTGCATCAGGGACCTCTAAATATGACCTCTGGATTTGCGAAATGATTTGCCCCCATAACGCCTCAATAGATCAAATTCCTTCACAACACGTTGCCTCTCTATAACACGTGGTCTGCATGTGATATCACCATATCTGTCAGTACAGTGGGTGTGTATGCCAAAGCGTTTCCGGGGAACTGTTGGGCCTGTGATCTAAGACGCCTCAAATATATGTACAGAGTGGCGTCCCTTAGACCACCAGGATCCGTTGACAGTTCGAATTCCAGATACCTTGCGATTACCTTAGTTCATCTGTAAGCATGGTGGGTTTTTAAAAAATCAATGACCAGTGTCACTTTTTGCTTTTCAACAAACTCGCTAGCGATGTGACTGACATACTGTTGAAAGCAACGTAAAACTAAATCGCCCCACTCCTCCATGCTGGTTTGTTATTTACCCCAGGAACGATGAACAAAACCAATGTTTTCAAAACACGTATATCCATTTACGTATAATATTTTGTGTTTGTCCAGCCTGACCTCTGACCTTCTGTTTCAGGATGTGTTGAGTGCAATGAGTGAGGCACGCCTAGAGGAGGGGGCAAAGCGGAAGGGCAGGCGCTGGTCACTCGACACCATCACACCAAGGTTCAACCTCTGGAAGAGGTCGGGGTCGGTTATCGATGGGGGCCTACTGTCCCACCGTAACTCCATCGCCACGCCCGTCACCATCGCAGAGGAGGGCAAGCTGCCCTCGCCTGGGCGTCGGATGAAGAAGACCCTCCCTCACGGTGATGTGTACGCTGTGCTGGACCTCGTCGACGGCCGACATATTGTGGTAGGTAGAATAAATGAGTGAGTGAGTTTAGTTTTAAAAATAAGCCACACTCAGCAATATTCCAGCTATATGGCGGCGGTTTGTAAATAATCGAGTCTGAACCAGACAACCCAGTGATCAACAGCATGAGCATCGATCTACGCAATTGAGATATGATGACATTTGTCAACCAAGTCAGCGAGCCTGACCACCCGATCCTGTTAGTCGCCTCTTACGACAAGCATGGGGAGTAGACTAAGTAGGTAGACTAAGTAGATCTATAGATAGGGCAAACAAACATCAAACACATTTATGCAAATTATGTGAGTAACGCTGCCTCTGTAATGAGTGAGTATGGTTTTGCGCCGCTTTTAGCAATATTCCAGCAATATTACGGCGTGGGACACCAGAAATGGGATTCACGCATTGTACCATGTAGGGAATCGAACCCGGGTTTTCGGCGTGACGAGCGAACGCTTTAACCACTAGGCTACCCCACCGCATCGCTGCTTCTCTAAGAAGTAGGGCGGGATATGATGATCCGTTCAGCGGACACCTGGTGTCATTACAGATTTCCAGTAATCCATATATATCTATATCTATATCCATATATACCATTTTCACCACTACGTGGGGCGGTTGGGGTAGCCTAATGGTTAAAGCGTTCGCTTGAAGACCCGGGTTCGATTCTTCACATGGGTACTATGTGTAAAGCCCATTTCTGGTGTCCCCGCCGTGATATAGCTGGAATATTGCTATAAGCAGCGTATAACTATACTCACTCACTCACCACTACGTACCCCTTTACGCCAAATGGAATATGTTCCATTGGATGATCTAGACTCGTTGACGTGTTACATATATGTAAATCTGTATGCATGTAAGACCCGTGAACATCGTTAGAGGCGACTAACTGGATCGTATACTAATTGCGGAGGTTGATGCTCATGCTGTTGATCACTGGATTGTCTGGTCCAGGTTCGATTATTTACAGACCGCCGCCATATAGCTGGAATATTGACGGCGTAAAACTGAACTCACTCACGTATGTATCTAGACATATTAAATCAATAGCTCACTCAGGTGAACACTTAGAGTAAGGCTTAATCTCTGAATATATATCATTTTGAGAGTAACAAACAAGCCCATTTAAATTGAAAAGCAGCCCCAAGGATCTAGACTTGCTTTATTTAGTGCTTTAGCACTGCAGATAGGGCTTGGCAGTAGGGAAAATAATGTGGTTCAGGGACTGTGAGATAGACTAGTGAACATTTTCAGTCTGACTGAATGACTGTTTGGTTTTCAGGGCATGATCGCGAAGAGTGAGTTTAGTTTTACGCCCTTTTAGCAATATTTCAGCAATATCACGACAGGGAACACCAGAAAAGGGCTTCACACATTGTACCCATATGGGGAATCGAACCCGGGTTCGAACGCTTTAACCACTATGCTACCCCACCGCCCCTGATCGCGAAGAACAACTAAGAATATGCATAACAAATAGAACACTTGTGTTCGTATCACATGACATGTATTTGTCATCTCGTGACCTGACAACGTTGACATTTACACTCGTGTCTGTGCCCCTCATGAATATATCAACTTGTCAAGTCACTGGATGAGATCAGCATACCCGGTAGTATCTGACAGGATGATCTTCTCCAAACGTTTCTCGTGACACTGACATGACATGAGCACGTGTAGAAATAGACGGCGTTTTCACGCTGCATTTATTCATGACGTCATTCAGTGATGACGTCACTTCGTTGAAATGTGCCGCACTTGTTTTTGCAGCTACAAGCGGAACTTAGTTTGTGGGAATGTGATTTCAAAAGATATTACAAGCTTTCACGAAATAGTATGGAAACTATGATAACATTTCCCTGACTTAGGCCTTGACCTTTTGACATTGTGACGTCATGTACAGTACTATCTATGTTCAAACTGTTTTCCACTACTGGGTTACCATCATCTTAGCGCTAAAATCACTTTGTTGATAATGCTAAGTGTAATTATGAAGGTGTTATTTTGCCATCCCTGATACAACTTTTCAGCAGTTCCGACTTACGGAATGGGGCGAACCTGACCGAGTTATTGATTCGTTAATATGTCTGCTGTTACTGGTGACTGGATGATTTATGATTGTGTAACTGAAGCTGTTCAAGGCTGCCGCATTTCCTCTAATAAGCGCCCGGGCGCATATTTTTTCAACGGACTTCCAGACACGGCGCTTATTTGAGGCCCGACGCTTTTTGAGGTTGCTGGGTGTACTGTGCTTATTTTTTAAACCGGCCTTACTTTCGGCGCCTATCAGATAAAATACGGTATATCCACGCAGCTATCCATAACACGGCAGCAACTTACTACTGTTTGTTAGACATTTTCAGCTGTCTTACTTTGAATATCTACTTTAATATTGGGGGCGGCGGGGTAGCCTAGTGGAAAGCGTCCGCTCGTCACGCCGAAGACCCGGGTTCGTCTCCCCACATGGGTACAACGAGTGAAGCCCATTTCTGGTGTCCCCGCCGTGATATTGCTGGAATATTGCTGAAATTAAACTCACTACTTTAATATTGTTCTTATTACTTCGTGATTGCAACGTTTCCATAGCGATTCCTGTACCGCTGTCGAAGAGTTGCACTCATGAAATAAAAGAAGCTGAAAAAAAGTTGTTATCCATAAAGTTTGACAACATTGTACTTCCCAATTTCTAAAGGTGCGTTCTCACGGTGCGACTTGTAGTAACAACTTGTAGCATACGACTTGTAGTAACAACAAAGATCGTAACGACTGCATTTGTGTACTTTTTAAGTCGCATACAACTTACATCTCACGAGATTCTCATATGACTCGATAACATGGAACCATCGAGTGAAGAAAAAACACTGACGTTCATGTCAGTCTACATATCGCAGAAACTGAAAAAGAAGAGAAAGCCTAAATCGGTGTGGGTCCGCAGCTGGATTCTTCGGCGGAACACGCCTGGATCTTATCATTAGCTTTTTCGAAAGCTTTAACAGGAAGATCCATGGTCACTGAAGAATTTTCTCCGTAAGGATATGTCAAATTTTGACATTTTGTTTCAGTCGTGTCAAGGACGTGTCACCCTGAGGTGGGCACAGATCTCCGCGATTTGATAGGTCGAGAGCTTGCGACTTGTAGTAGGAATTAGGACAAAATCAATGTATTACAATTCGGCTGCGATTCGTTGTTTGCGACTTCAAATCACTACGATTTGGGTGTTCTCATGTTGTGAACAGCAGGGTGATTTGTGTTCAAGTATTTTATATGGGCTTCAAAAATAGTGTACGAAGCGCACGTATAATATTATTTTGTTGAAATGCAAGGAAGTTATTTGCGGCAGTTGTTTTAAAAAGTGTTTGAGTAATTCTTATTTGTGGTAACATTTGCCTGTTAATTATTATTTGTTTGTTTTTATTGCAAAAAGATTACAACAAAGTAACATAGGTTGGGGTTTGTAACAAAACAGAGTTAACTGGTGGTGATTAATGTAAGCGCATCGTTCACATTGTTTATAAAATTAGCCGTCCACATTTATCAGTATGTGTCGTGACACAACGATTATCATGACGTGTTTTTATATCTTTGATAATATTTTTTATCTGTCACATCTGTATCTTCTTAATAAATTTGACAATAGATCTATAGTTACATCTTACATTCAATTGGAACAAAATCATTTCAGTATTGAACAAATTATTTGATTTTACCAAATTTCAGCATCATTAGACTGACACTTTTCGCTAACAATGAAAAGTTAATTGTTTTAAAATAAATAGAGAGCGGGGTATTCGCATGTAAGTATTACGCAATGTTAGAGTAGATTGTCAGGCGAAGCTGGAGTTATCTACCTTTGTTCATACTAGTCAACTGGTTTGTGAAGTCCAACTTCTCGGGCGTCAAAATGGGGGAACAACTTCATCCTTATTTTCACCAAGACTGGAAACTCAACCCCATACTGTCACACGCTTGGCAACATGCAATGTGACCATCTTTTCAAGTGATAGCAGTGACAGCTCAAAACAGATCCATTTCTAAAATGTTTTCGCTCTGCTCCTGTTCAAGGTGCCACCCAATTCACCAGGTAATATTTAGAAAGAAAAACAAACTTCTTTGTTGATTCTTTGATGTATGAAGTATGTAATGTGTAGTATTTACGTCCTTTTTTGCAACATCATAATTTATCACGTTTGTTATCCCATATGTTTTGTTGACATATTCAATAAAAATCTTACATTAGGGGAAAAAACATGCAGACTTGCATGATGGCCAAGTTCAGTACCAGAACAAGGATTCAGTTTAATTGTGTCGATTAGGGAAACACTGTTTGATATTGAACCATAACAAGACTTACACATTAACCACTTGCCCACCATATTAACTCATGGGTTTCAGAAGGAAAAGGGGGCGTTGGTGTTGAATAATGGTTAAAGTGTTCGCTCGTCATGGCAAAGACCCAGGTTTGATTCCCCGCATGGGTACAATGTGTGAAGCCCATTTCTGGTATCCCCTGTCGTGATATTGCTACACTAAACTCATTCACACCCACTCTGAAGGAAAGGTCATGGCAGCATGTTACAAATGTACATATGAAAAGTGTCCTACCTGATGGATGCATACATCATGAATTGAAAAAGAGAGTAACCTGGTAAATATTATGGCTAAAATAATCCCAAGAATCTGTGAAGAAACAAAGGACTTCATATATAAAAAATGAGGATCATTTTTGCATTTAATGTCAAATGAAAAGGGGACATATAGTTGCATCTGAACTAAGTCTGACAACTTGAGGTAGGCACAAGTTAGAATTGGGGTTTTTCTGTTCAATGCCACACTCAGCAATTTTCCAGTTATTTGATGTCATTCTGTAAATAGTTAATGTAGGACCTGACAATACGGTGATTGATATAATGAGCATTGATCTACGCAGTTGGGATACAATTAAATGCATTAACCAGTCAGTGAGCCAGACCATCCGACCCCATCAGTTGCACTTATGA